GGGAATTGAAAATTGTTTTATTTACCCTGTGCATGATTAAGTAAATTCCCAATAGTTTGGAGGTGGAGATGGTGGTGAGTTTGATGTACAGCCGTACAGGTGGTGGGTTAGAGGTAGAGATTGTAGTGGATTTGAGGTGGAAATGGTGACGATGGTTGTAGATTAGAATCAGGTGGTGGTGGTGGTGCTTTGGAGGTGAAGGTGATGGTATATTTGAGGTGGAGGTGAAGTTCGATGGTTATTGATTGAGGTGCAAGCATGAGGTGGTAGTGCGTATAGGTGGCAATGGTAATGGGTATTGGAAGTGTGGAGGTTGAGGTTGTGGTGTGTTGTGTTGTGAATTTGAAGTGACATCGACGATTTAGATGGCGTCGGTGGTAGTTGTAGAGTGAGGTAGGATGATATAAAGAGTAATTATGACTAATTAATTTGATAGTTTGTGACTAATAAATAATTTTAGACTTATTAAATGTACGATATGTGACTAAAATACGTGATTGCAACCCATAAAATGTGTATTTGTGATGTGTGATTTGTGACTAGTATATGACTACGATCATAAATTATATATAAATTATATATTATTGTAATCGGAACCTATTTAATTAAAAATTTATCAGAATATTGTATCAGATGTCAAAAAATGTGACCACCTAATTTTGAATTTTTTTTACAATTTCGTTATTTTTGAAAATATATTTTGAAACCTTTGCAGTTATTGATGCTATTTGTACTTCCGATTCAATAAGAATTTGTTTCAATTGTACAATAAAAATTACGAGATATACGTACTGAAACATATAATAGTTCCCTTTTGATATAGTGGGAAGCAAATGATCGTGAAATTAAATTTTGATAAACTCATAACAAAATTTTGAGCATCCAGTTAAAACTGTAAAACTTGATATTGAACTAATACTGATTTCTATCTTTCTTCTATTTCTTTTTATTTTAGATAGTAAATATTATCAATAATACAACTTATTATTCCACATAAGACATTATTGACTCCTTTTGAGTTTCCAATAATGTTTATACAATTATTATTCCACATAAGAAAATTAATTTTGTAATATTTTTACGCTTAGGTATATGAAAAGTTATACTTCTTTAGAAGCGATAATAAAATATTTATTTCAAATATTTATACGCTTAGGTTGTGTGTTTTGATAAAACTAAAATGTCATATTCTTCTAAAAATATTAATAGAATTGTGAACCGTGTTTTATCAAAACAACATACATGCATGTGTTTAAGCCTCTTTTTTTTTTTTTNTGGGTTATAATTTTTTTAATATTGATTTTTTGGAGAATGTATGGTTATTAAGTAGTAGTTGTTTGACAATAATTTTTTGGGAAGAATGAGTTTTTAAAAAGTAAATTTTTGAAGAATGTGTGGTTAAAAAGTAAGAAAAAATTAGAATGTACGTTCAAAATATTTTATTATGGAAATGTGTAGTTAAAAATAAGAGAGAAAAATAAGTTTTAGGATAATGAAGATCAAACAAGAGCTTAGAATACTATATATTTAATATGTATAAAGTTATTCTTTAGGAATAATGCAATAATTTGCTAAATGTTGATATAATTTAAATTATAAAACGATAACAATAACGATAACGATATAGTATTCTTTAGGAACATTAATGTATAATACCTTATGCTTCTTCAAGAGCAACATAAAATATTCTTAAAGAATGACGATTTAAAAAATAAGCATTTTAAGAACAAATTAACAATATCCTTTTAGATTAGTGGCATATATAAAATATTGCTTCTTCATGAGTTACAAAATCTTCAAAAATATTGCTGCTTACAAATTTTTAAAAATTGATTCAGTTTACAAAGTAATATCAAAATATTCTTATGAATTATTACTATTTATTGTACTTTATTAAAAAGGAATGTAACAAATTGATTGAAGTATAAAATAGTGTTTTTTTTCAAGAAAAACACTATTAAGAACCTAATATCATGATGTTACACTCTTGAGGAGCAACAACAAATTTGTTTGCTTATCCATGAATTAAAATAATATTTTCTAGAAAAATAATATTTAAAAATTCATTCTTCGACAACAACAATAAAATATTCTTCTAAAATATTGATTTGCATAAATATGTGTTCCTTAAAAAAGTAACAATACGATAATCTTCATGAATATAATATAAAACAATTTATGTTTTTCACTATCAACAAAATTTATTTTAAAATATTATATTTATTAAATTATTCTCTTCTAGGAAATATCCTTCTAGAATACTGACACATAATATTTTGTGATTGAGCAATAAATACAAATTCTTCTAGAATATTGTTACGTGTAACTTTTTATGACAATATTCTTCTTAAATAAAAAATATGAAATAATATTCAAGCAATATAGGTATAATCGAATTGAATAACGTATACCATATTTTCTTTACTAATTTTAAGTTAGAAGATACAATAGTTGCTTTTGGCCCCAATATTTTATGGCATACATACAGATGTCATATAAAATCATGCCGTAAACACTCCCATCTTTTTCATGCCATAAAAAACAAGAAGCAAGCCGTTATCGAACCATTTACATTACACTTTGCATGCCATAAATACTTAATCTTTTACGGCAAGCAAATATTGTATGTTGTAAATACTTTAAGTAATTGATCATTTATGGAATACATTTATGGCATGCAATAAATAGTTTTTTTTTACGGCATGCCACAAACGAATGTTGTAAAAAGTTCCTTTTGTTGTAGTGCCCAAAATAAATTATCTCTTCGCTAATTAAATTAACTAGAACTTTATGCTTTCTTTGGAATAATTCATCCCTTTTTTTTCCAATTTGCTAGAATCTCGTACGATAAGATATTATAAAGTAGATAGAAAATAGAAAAAAGTAAAGAGAATCAATAGAGTTGTATTTATTTCATTAAGAACCAAAGTCGTATGCATCACGACTCGAAAATATTAAGCCAATATTTCATTTTAGGTCTCCTATCAAAATTGGTTATTGTTTTTAAAGAATATTGAGAATATGTGTTAGGTTCAATATTGTAATTGACAATTCTTTAAACAAAAAAGATTTAATTGAACATGTGTAAAAGT